TTTGACCAAAAGTAAAACATAATGATTTAGTTGTTACCTGGTGATTTTAACTTTTTTTACCTAACTGCCATGTTGCCTAACTGCCATATCGCCTAACTGCCATGTTGCCTAACTTTTTTTGCCTAACTGCCATGTTGCCTAACTTTTCTCCAACTCCAGAGTGATTTTGTCTTGAGTTTCTCTCTCTGGAACTAACCTTTCAATGCAATCATACAAACTGTTCTCGACTATTTCACAATCAACCTCTTCACGATGATCATATTGGATTACCGGATTTAGGAAATAACAAGCCGCGTGCAACGGATGATGAAGTTGACACCTCCACCTTTCATCAATGATCTTAAAGGCTGTTTTGTAGTTTTCTTCTCGTACATGAAAAGCCCGCACAATTGTCTCTTTAGGCCTTTCCATGGCTGCATAAATGTATCCCATAGCTGGTTTCATCAATTATCGACGATCCTAAGTACCTTAACAAGAGCATAAAGAACTTACTTCCAAAAGTTTTCTTGCAAAGAATACGTTCTCACTTTTTTTTTCCTCCCGCTTACTTTGGCCACTTCGAATTATTCCATTCTTCAGAAGTAACCAGCGTCCTCAAGTTATTCTTTTTCGTATGATAGTGAGAAAGGGTAATGAAAGATGTTGCAAACCTCGTAATAGATGGTTTATGCAAATTTCTTTCGCTTGTGAATTTTCTCATCATGTTCACAAGAGAAGTGTGACTATAAATGTAGTCATTCATGAATATGCACTTTTTTATAAAATCTTTCACCAATGGAAGTTTTCCAATATCCTCCAACATCAAATCAATGCAATGCGCGTCGCATGGAGTCCAATAAAGATGCTTCCGTTCAGCCATTAGTAATGTTCCTGTACATTAAAGAACACAACACATAACAAAAATTTAAGATTTTATTAAGATAAAAAGTCAGAAAACATTTCATTCAAAAGCTAAAGCTAAAGATGAATGACAACTAATTTATTGTATTAAATAAACAAGGCAAACATACAATTGTTATAAACAAGGCAAACAAACGATAGCAAATTTCTTATAAACAATAAGTAGATGAATTTTTACCTGCTTTGACATAGTTTGACGCATTGTCTGTTACGACTTGAACCACATATTGCTCTCCGACTTCTTCAATCATACGGCTAAGCATATCAAACAACAAAGTTGCACTTTTCACTACTTGGAAAACATCGTTGGATTTTGTGAAAACATAACCTTTTAGAGAGTAGAAAGTTGATAATATCCTTTTACACCACGGAATCACGCCATCCATATGACATGATAGAACAACCTTTAGACGCCCATTCTTTTTTATGCTCAACCAATTGAGCATGAGTATCATCTACTTCTTTTTTAAGAAGTGGAACCCGTAGCGCATACATAGTTGGCGGCTGTAACCCTAGTCCATATTGAGCAATTTCTTCAAGCATTTGATCGAAACTCTCATAAGTAACACAGTTAAAAGGAATACCAGCATCGTAGATCCACCTTGCTATAGCCCTAACAGTTTTTTCCCTCGCGTCCTTGACACAAGCTCCAAAAATTCCCTTTTCTTGCTTTCGTCCTAGCAAAATATCAGGGGGAGGAGTAGTCACAAACCTATCCAATGGACCTTTGGGTTTAGGCTTTTTAAGTACATTTTTGTTGTGTGAGCCGCTTGCCTCGCAATCAATCTCTTGCTCAACATCATACTCGTCAAATTTTGGCATCAACTGTGTAGTTCTTTTTGTTGCTGCCTTTTCAAGCATGAATCTTCTGGTTTCCTCCTTAACATGTTTAGGACAGAGCTTGCATTCAAGAGCATTCCTAAAACCACCAATGAGATGCTGTTTCAGACGATAAACTCCTCCTTTAGTTTACTCCAAACAGAATTAACACTTCCAATTATTAGAGTTTGCCGAATCTACAATTCCATATTTTCTTTCCGGATCTATAGCCCTCCCTAACATGGTGATGGAGTTTGAGAAGAAGAAAAAAATGTGGCGTTAAGAGTTTTTTTTTATTTTGATGTTCTGATAATGTGAAGAATAGTTATTTTAACGGGACTAGGGTTTTCACATATCACTAAGAGCCGTGATCAAATGTAACACAGTTAACGTGATCCTTGAATATCTCAAAAAAACGATTCCTTTTATTATCTTTTTATTTTTGTAAATATAAGTCACATATATCACAAATGTCAAAATCCATATAAATTCAAAATCTAACGTTCATATCTATAAAGCGCTCGCTTCGCTCGCCTCGAGCTTTCGTCAAGGTGCATCTAGGCGCAGGCTTTTCAGATAGTGCCTCGCCTTGAGGTTACCAGGCGCAAAAGGTGTCTCGATGGTGCGTCTTGGGTGTGCTTTTTAAAACATAGGCCATAGCTTTCACAATCCAAACGAAAACTGTGAAGTCTCGAGTTGCCAAAGAATGAGACCACGTTTTGCACAGTTAGAGGTAGCAACCTGAAATATACTCCCTGAACCAATGCCATTCAATACAGGAAGGCAAAATGGGAGGAAAGAGAACTCCATGAAGGAGTAATAAGAGTTGTTAAAGCTAACACAAATGCTAACAATCAAGACTGAGCCCTTAACAACAATAGATTAGACTAAAGCTGGTACCAACCTCAATACAAGGTAAGAGTGAGCCATATTTTTTGTGACCAGAGAGCACAACAACCAACAAAGAGAGTGAAGACAAGGGTCCAAGATCATATTCTACCATGCTTAACCTAACATCACAAGGCAGCCAAACATTCTTCATTATAAAGCTAACGATCTTTATAATAGGACTTTCCTTAACTAATAAGGAGAAAGACTCATACCCAACTTGAAGGACACGATTGTTGGAGCGAGGAAACACGAGTAAGGGATTGGGACAACAAAGATAACCTCTGAGGGGAATAAGCTG